ATTTTAAAAATCTGGCTTCACAAAAATATAAATATAGATGGCAACAGAGAGATCTCTAGAATGCAAAAAAAAAAAAAATGAATGGCACTAGACAAAATTTTTAGGTTACTGTTGGTGAACATTTTGGTATCAAATTTCTTTTTTCTTTTTTTGGTACTGGGGATCAAACTCAGGACCTTGCACTTGCGAGGCAGGTATGGTGCCACTAACCTAAATCTCCAGCTCAAATTTCTTTCTAATTAAATTGTTGTGAAACGTGAATGTCTGAAAGGGTTTCTGAGGGAAGTTCTAATTATTCATTTTGACTATTTCAAGACAATATACACTAAGCAGAAAGACAGATGATATTTGTGTTTTATTGCCAATACTGTAATATTCACTATATGGATATCAATCAAGGGTCTTAAACAACTCAGCGTTCTACAATCAATTCTCTATGCCTGTCTCTCAAATTTCATATTTGCTCTTAAAAGGTTGCTGTTTGCTATAAAAATGATCATAATTTTATCTTTAGTGTGGATTTAAGAAACTTCAAGGTTAAACAAATGTATCTGTGAAACGTACCGTTATCATGAAAGCAATAGATCCTATCCCCATATTTTCTTTTTTGATGAATACAATTTTTCAGCCTTAAAGTTGAAAGCTCACAGAGACATATCTCTTCCATTTGGTGGAACAAGTGGCTTTCTATTTCATCTCACATTTTGCTAAAAAGATCAGTGGTTAAGGCATAGATTTTTTACTAGTCATTATTCCCACTATTTCTCACATGTGAGATTCACCAAGCATGGGCAAGGACAGACGCCTTTAGGGTAGTCGTATTTCATGATACAACTTCGCTGAATGATTCAGAGCTCTTGACAACTTTGATTTGGTCTTGTGGTACTGAAGCTTTTGCCATAGGGGAGCCCAGTCTGTGCAGAAATCTTCAGGTATATCTTTCGAGATCATTAATATTTATGCTATGTCTGTATCAATAAGGGTATCCTTTTCAGCTCGGCTGCTTCTTTTTAAATGCAGACTTAGCCATATGTAAGTCGCAGGGCTTCATCCTGCTAATACATGAGCTCCATGACCTTGAGGGAAGCTTCAAGGAAATTTCCATTGCTTGTTTGAGGGCATCATCATCATCATCTTTATGAAAGATATCTCTCCCTTTCTTTGGCAAGAAATCCTGATGATTTCTTTTCAGAATTTGTATAACTGGCTTTTAAATGTCCATCAGGAACAATGAGTCATGCCTCAGGGCTTCTTTGCAGGTAATATACCAACGTTTAGGCTCATTTTCACCTTTATAATAATATAAACCATATTTTAAATAAGCATCTAGGTATAGACTGAAATGTTGCATCAGACTACACTCCTTGTAGTGGGGGCAGATGTCACTCAGGCTAGGGGGAGCTCTCTCTGGTGCCTTCCCATTTCTTGTATGTTACACTACTCCATTATATCAGGTGGTTCTAGATTTCTCTAATTGTCTTTTTAAAATTCACAGCTTTCACACTTTTCTATTTCACTTATGGTGAAATATTTCCAGACAAACATGTCATTTAAAAAGATCACAGAAAAGAGATTAGAAGTAATATGCTGGTACCCAAGGATGGATTAAAAAACCATTCTTTTGGCAGTGGTTTGGTAAGAATGATTGCATTTGTATTTTATTTCCTTATGCTTATGAAGCCTACATAATTTTCCACTAGTGGATAAACACAGAAGAACGAGGAAAACCCAGGGAGCCAGAAGTGTGGAAAAAGAGCGAACTTGACTCTCACTGAAACAGATGAAAATTCTAAGTTTAGCTTAGCAATAAATCTAAGAACAGTAAATGTTGGGGGCACCCAATTTGGGAACAATTTCATCTGGTTCCAAGCCAGTCATTCTAGTCTTAATTAGTTGTCATCATTTTTAAGGAAAGACAGGAGAAAGAAAAGAAAAGAAAAGAACAAAAACGTTAGTGAAACTGGACCTGCAGTGATACTGTTTCAGAACTGCTGAAATTTTCACCACCTAAAAAGAGGCCAAGTTTGAGGCAAATCTTTCAGTTTGGTGTGAAGCAGTAGATGGGTCCTCTGTTTATCTCGGTGGCTGTATAAGAACGGTGGGAAATTAGGAGTTTTAGACAAGCTTCAGTGAATTGGTTTGTCTCTCCCACACCCATTCGCCATGAATTAGATGTTGCCACTGCTTCAGCTCATCATGTTTTGCATTATTAATTTTTATGTGATTAAAAAAATGGACATCTAAGAAATTGCACAACACTGCTATGGGATGCAGTGTGCTATATTGAAAGAATTTAGGGTTTGCAGTCAATCAGATCTGAATTCACTTACTCTCTATTGACAAATTCAGAAATTTCAGCAAGTGACCCAATTTATATGACTCTCTTCGACATTAAAAGATAGAAATGATGCTGTTGGTCATTGGTTGCTATGAGGATTGAATGAGAATTGTCACAAATGGCACTGAGAGGGAATTCAAGAAGTGGTATTTTCCCTTTCTAAATGATATAGCCATTTTCAGAAGGAGTCTTCTGAAGTTTATAATAATCGCACCATTCAGATCAAACTCCTAAAGATGTGCACCCCTTCTGATTCATCTATGTGCTGTGTATTAACCAAAAAGCTGTTATGATTTGGGTTATGGAGCCTGCCAGTCCTAGACACAGCTATGGATCGGGTCAAAAGGCAGTCTTTTCTAGAGTGAAACAAAGTCAACAAAGTCTGCTTACTCTGCACATCATGGACCAGCTAGTGTCTAAGACCCTACAACACCCTGTGTTGAGTTTGAGGAGCCAGCTAATCAACAGGGGACAGGAGAAGGGTACAGCTGGGGTGACACAGTAAACAGAAGAGATGTAAGCACATTGAAGGTAAGATCACCACTAGTGTGTGCTGTGTCTTCCTGCCTTGGTAATATTGACTCAGTCCAAGGATAGTAGTGAAGAAGTTATTTTCCCCTCATGGCTCAGAAAGGTAAAGTTCTAATGTAGAATGCCACCCTCTTTCAAATAGACTCTTTGAAGTTTCTAACTTTGGGCTCCAAGTTTTCTTTCACTGTCCATTTGCAAGCTCCTGTAGTCTAACACCATCTGTGATTCTGAGCACAGGGTGAAGCCAGTTTCAACTTGAGCTAATGTTGAATCTGATGCCCAAGTGCCACAAGTCTCCCCATAGCTAACTCAAAACTGATAGAATTGCAGAATCTTAGGAATGGGGCACCACCTATTTAGAAAGCCTAGAATGTTAATATGTGAAAGAACTGGTTTGCAGCAATCACCTAGCAACGTATGGCATGTGGGGTGGGAGGTTTGCCTTCTTTGTTTTATTTTATTATTTTACTTTTTGGTACCAGGGATCAAACTGAGGACCTTGTGCTTTCGAGGCAGGTGGTGATCACTGTGCTAAATCCCTGGCCCTTGCCTTCTCCATTTTAACTTCTAGGTCTGTAATCTTATTTTTCACTATACATAGAGGATATTCAGTCTGTAGATGGTCAATATTGTAGAATAAATGAATTCACTTTTGGGATAGGAAGCATCTTTTCTTAAATACTTGTTTAGCATAGTTCTGTGCTTTGCATGAATTATTTTGTTTAGTTCCCACTACTACTCCTATGAGGCCCTGGGTCTCACAATTTAGAACAATTTTAGAATACTGGAAATAAATCTTAGGCCTAACTACTCCCAGATGAAACACTAAAAATATTTCCTTTATCTTCCTGTTTTCTCTGTCAGGTGATTTGGTCTAGGACTAAATCAGCAAAGCCTAGGGCTGTTGATCCCTTTGCACTTGGAGTAGAGCCCACTCCTGACTGGGGTCCGATGCTTTCTCAGTTACCAGGCTGTTTTTTTTACAAGAAATCCTTTGAGTGTGCTCTCCTCCTCCAGCCAGGGAGACTAACTCCAAGATCAAGTGTTAGCTGGGAGTGGTGGTGCGTACTTGTGGTCTCGGCATTCTGCAAGCCTCCTGAGACAGGAGGATCACAAGTTGGAGATTCCTAGGCAACCTAGTTACTTAGCAAGATCTTGTCTCAAAATAAAAAATTAAAAAAAGAGCTGGGGACGTAGTTCAGTTTGACTGCCCTGGATTCAACCCCCAGTCCCACCAAAAAGGGGCGGGGGGAAATCTAGTAGTTTCCTCCAGGCCCTCATGTGGGGCTTACAAGATAGCATTAAAATTCACTGCTCCTTATCTCTGCTTCTGTTCAGTTCCCACAAATCTGGAAGTTTCCCTAATGTGGGAGACCAGTGTCACAGTGAATGAATACCATCCTTCTAAAACTCTTTGAGACATCGTGCTTGCTCCTGTCTAGTAGGTCCACACGGAACTGCAACTTCCACGATGCTGTACTTTCATGGCAACCAACTCCGTACCTGGTGGGCTGAAGCGAAGGATCTCTAAGGAAAGATCTCTGAGTCTCTGTGACAGGTCGGCGATGCGGCTAGGCTCAGGGCTTGCCAAGCCGCCTTGCTGCCTTGGAGAAGAGCTGCTGCCAGACCCTGCCACTGAGAGCACAGGGTCTCTGGGCCCTACAGGCTCACGCCTCTAGCCGTGGGAGTCTGGCTGCTACTTTCCCTTTTCTGCATCTGCTCGCACAGGCATGGCTCTCTGCAAGTGGTTCCTGTAGAACAACACCAGGAGGGATGCCGGGCCTCTTAGACATTCATGCCATCACTAGGGGTCTTTCTTTTAACTGGCTACTTTAGATACTGCAGTGAAAATGACTAAAAGATATATGATGCTCTTGGTGCCATCGTGCTGAAATGTTGCTTATTCCTGTATTCAGATGTGCATGATAACCCCTCTCTCTCTCTCTCTCTCTCTCTCTCTCTCTCTCTCTCGCCTTTTAGAAGACTGGACCATTGCTATTTTTCTCATTAAATCTTAGACATTTGCCCAAATGAGTACAATCCACCTTGAATTGGCACCCTCGGGACCTGTGTGCAGCCCACCTCCCCACAGGGAGAAGGTTGTGGGTCCTTGGGGGCAGTGCTCTCTTACCACTGAGAAGAGGCCGGTTGTGCCGGTATGAGGCCGGCAGCTGGCCGATGTCCTCCATCCTGTGGCTCATGACCCGGGAGAGGTGGCCCGTGTGGTGCAGGCTTCCCACGACAATGCTGTGGAGGTACACAGGCTCGATGAAGTGACAGAGGAGAGCACCCTGCAGTCCCAGGACGTTCCACCTGGAACGAAAGCCAGCGTGAGTCAGCGGGAGGCCCGCCCCTGCTGGAGGGTGCTCTGGTCCAGCAGGGAAAAGGGCTAGCTGTGCGCAATGTTGTACCTTTCTGTCCTTTAGCTCCTTGCTCCTCAAGTGGAATTTTCTTCGTTGGGCAGAGCATGGAGCACTCCCCAGACACAGCAGAGCCTTTCAGGTGGGTTTGGGCTGTGGCTACTAACGATTCCGAGCAGCTCTAACACCAGGAGGGTGGGGTGGGGGGGCCTGAGCTCGGAGTTCCTCCAATTTTAATAAAATCAGTCCCTTTTCTGGAAAATGAGTTATTAGAGAGGGAGCTACCTGTTCTCTCAGGAACTTAAAATTAGATTCTATAAGAAAGATGTTTCTCTGTCCCCAAAGTGAATCTGAAATTTTCTTCATATTAATTGGGAAATTTCAGAAATTGAATTTGTTTATTTCAGGGTAGGGAAAAATACCATTTTTCACTCCCTTGGCAGTGGTCAGATGATCTACCGTGCTGAGATTAAATGACATTGATAAATAACCTGGTTTTGGTCTGGGGATGATTTTGATTTTAGAAATCCAGATCATGGACAAAGGATGAGGCCATTTTCTGTGAAATAAATATAGCTCTGGTTGAATGTGTTTGCTTCTTCGAGCAAAGATATGAGGAACACTGAGAGACCTTTCCCCCCTAAATCTAGGTGGGAAGAGTTTCCACATATCTGTTATTTAAGGCAACATTTTGTGGTTTCCACTCTAAATAACATGTTTAAAATCCAATCTCCATTGGTGGCAAGCATTATGTAGCTAATTTCTTACATCATTGTTCTTTTCATTAATTAACATTTCTCCACCGTTGGAGCAATTATTGTGGGGCCTCTATGCTGTACATCTCTTTTCATGATTAATAAGGAGTCATTATATTTCCCTTCCTGAAGCAGTCAATTAACACGGAATTCTTTCCATTAATTACCGAATGTCTCTCTACCTGGAGAGCAATCTGCTCTGAGAACCTGTGACACCAATTGCTTTAAAAAGTTCTCTTTAAATTTTATTCCAAAACACAAGCAATTTAGCTGGCAATATTAATTTGCCTCCGAAGCATCGCAGTGAATGAGAAACATCTTTTAATCTCATGCAAGAAAAGGCAGCCATCTGGCCGGTGAGAATTTCAGGGAGCAGCTCTCCCGCGCTTCCTCTGTAAATGCAGGTCATTAAAGTAATGTGTTCATCTACATAAAACTCAAATGGAATATAAAAGGTAATATTTATATACAAACAGTTTAGTCCTACAATTTAAACAGTCATTGGTTTTATGAAACATTTACTTTAGTCTATCAGATTTGCATATCTTCATTTAAAAAAATATTGTGGTCATTTCTCTGAGCCACTTTATTTATCTCGGGAAGCACAGAGAGGGCTGTCCTTGGACAGAGATAATCCTCTCAAAGGGCAAATCTCAAAAGATTTCAAGGGAAAGGACATTTCTGGAAGAAACACAGTACTTACTACTGATGTTCAGGGACCTCTCCATTTGGCAATAACATTTCTGCCTAGACCACTACAATCTGACACATCAACTGTGACTTTTCTAGTTTTCCTCGCTTTTCACTGATGAGTTACAGAATGTCTTCAAAACCCAAGAGAGGAATTTTTTACTATCTAAGCTTTCCTTGAAGGAACAACACTGCCGGTTTTCAGTAGTTTCTGAGAGATATGGCTTGTTCCCTTAAATCCGAGACTGAAGCACAGACCAAAAACTGAGGACAAATTTCACAAAGTTGTCATCTAGTATTAAGAAGCCTCCCTTTATTGGATTTGAAGATAGTGGGGAATATTGCAATCAAAGGTTACTGTTTATGGCAAAAGATTCTGGGTTAGAGACAGTCTAAGTGGGGCCTATTAATGCTCTGACTTTTGATGGAATTTAAGAATTTTTTATCAGTTAAAATCAGGGAAATTTACACTTCTCCATCTATAACAAAGTATTTTCTTGAAGCAAGCTAAGTCTTAAAAAATAAAACGAGTAGTTCTGAAGAAATGTCATAGTTTTCAAGACCATCAGTGTATTGACTTTGAATAAAACTTCTGGAACATATGAGAATGGTTCTGATTGTCTAGAATTGTCTAAAGACAAATAACTTCTATATCTGGTTTTCCTCCTAATAACCTTTACAATGAAGAGAAAATCTACTCTCTCCTTGCTTAGCTATAGAAGTTTAAACTTATTCAGCTAACATGATCAATAAAACCAAATGTCTTCCTGAATACAAACTGGAGAATTTTCTGCACTCAGTATTGAATGGAAAAATACTTCTCCCTTTGTTCACATAGCTGATATTACTGAAATGTTGACAGAGAAAAAAATCCCCTGTCTAGTTTTCAATATAGATAATCCCTAAATAAATATATTTTTGTCTGTTTGTCAATCATTGAAATACCATGAATAAGAGGGGGACAGAGCTGGGAAAAGACTGCCTTTCTGTAGCCAAGAGATGCAATCTCTTCGCTGAGTTCAAACCAGGACCTCCAACTGCAATGGGGACAATTATCCGATCCCTTGTGGGATAGACACTGCGTGAGACGCTCACCACAGCCATGCACCTTGGAGAGAAGACAGAGGACTGCAGTCGCCGTTGCATATTTTGGAGAGTTAATCTTCCTGCCTATTATTGTGTGCGTTCCCCAGAAAAGATGTCATTTTTAAAAATTATAGTGAAGTCTGCAGCAAAATCTTCAGGTTCCATCATAAATATGCACTTCCTCTTTGTCCTCTTCTGCAGGCAAATCTTCCCATTATCCGAATGAACAGCCACCCTTAACCGGAAGCATCGCTTACTGTCTGCCAGATACCTGTGAAGTCCACAGTGAGTGGCAGGATGGAGAGGAGCCGATGTTCAGTCCTCAGGGGTGGTGCTCAGACACTGTAATAGAATTATGCTGTTCCACTCGGCCTGCGCACAAGATCCCCTGGGGACCCTGAGATCCTCTGGATTCCTAGGTCCCTGCAAACACTCTGATATAATTGGTTGGGATCAGCTGAGCACAAGCATTTCTCAATGCTCCTCACGTGGTCCTAGAGGAAGTCAGGGTTGAGAACTCCTGTAATAGAGTAGTAAACACAATTTTGGAGTTAAAAAAGTTCATGTCAAATGCAAGTCCAGTCCCTGACCAGCTGGGTCATCCTGGACTACCTCTTGCTGCTTTGCACAACAGTTGGCTTAGTGGTCCTCCAAGTGGGGCATCTCAACCAGCTGCCAGGAACTTGATAGAAATGCACATTCTTAGCCCTCACTGAGACATGCTGAATTGGAAGCCTCGGAGCAGGGTGCAGCAGTAGGTGTTTCTGATGCTGCTGAGTTTGGAGAATTGCCAGTCTATATTGGAATATGGTCCTAATGGTACTGAGATCCTTCTCATGGCATTCGAAAACTACAGGAAATGTTGTAATTTTCTACCCAAGTGGGGGTTGATAGCTTCTTCCTCTGCACCTTTCCCCTTAATCTCAAACCTTTTCTCTCTCACCTCTTTTACACAGACAGATAATAATGCCACACTAGAGACGAGTTCATTTCCTTTCAACCAATGCTTTTCTTTGACTTTACTAAGTACAAAAGAAGTCTGAGGATCCTTTGATTAAATAATATCACCAGTAGGAATTCACTCCCTGGAGATAGTCTCAGTAAAATGCCAGCATATATATAATAAGGATAGTCATTAAAGAATTGTTTGCAAAGCAAACAAAACAAGACTAGACAAAGCAAAACAAAACAACTGAAAGTAATCTAGGTGTCTCTTACTAGCTGAGTAAATAAATCAAGGTATATTCATGGTAAGAAAACATATATGATGGTACCGTAACCTGCCTGACCACCAGTGGCATGCGCCACCTGTGTCCTTCCCAGTGGTCCCTCGGATTGTCCTGCCCAGTCACTTGTGCTTGGCGCAGCTCTGCTGGCCTCTTGTGCGTCCCTTCTCCTGTGTGGATGTCTTGCTTTCCTACCCGGGCTGATGCTTTCCGCAGTTCAATTAGGACACTGGCCACCGCTCTAGAGGCCTCTCCCTCTGAGGGATGTAGTCCGGGAACCATCTGCAGAGTTGTTAGATGTAGGCTCAGCCCACTGTCTTGTTTTCAAGTTCTGGGATGTTTTTTGCTCACTGATCTGGATTGCTGGCTTTGTTTTTCAGAATGGACTCTTCAGCCCTTTGCTGTTTCTATACATCTCAGCAGAGTCTCCAGGGTTGAGCTGCAAACTGTGGTGACAGTCTGGCCACTCAACCCACTTCACACAGGGGTTGAAATAGTAACAGAAGAGGCAGATGCAGCAGGGTCCTTGCTTTGTTGTTATTGCTTTTATGTTTAATACGTATGATTGAGCAGATAGATCACTTGCTACTTTTATCATGAGATTGTACATTTGCTTAGAAGCATAACAATAAAAATCACCATGCAATCTATGCTACAGAAGGTATTTAAAAATGGTTTTTAAACCAAACTGAAAATTTGGGGCTGAATATTTATAAGGGGCACTTGTTTTAAAAGGACATATATTTTGAGATGAGAACAATGAATGACACCCTCGTTTGATCTTGATAACACTTGAAAGATAAGGTACCTGCCAATAAATCAAGGAGGAATAATGTCAGAACTTTTTCCAGAAGTGGGATAAGAACAGAGGGGAGGAGGGAGACTTTCAATGAGAGGGTGTTGAGCAGCAGATCTCTCTACTTGGCAGGAGGGGTTACTCTTTACAGTCGGAATCTAAGTTTAGGAATCAGGGCCTGCCTCATTCTCCAGAGAGCAGCTATCGTTTTTTTACAGTTCATTTTTACGGATAAAGTTTTAATCTGTTCATTTAAAGACACACTGTGATCAATAATCAAGCTCAGGTACTTAAAATTAGAAACCATGTCTGGAGGAGCATTAGTTCCAGAAGATTTAGATTTTTATATGCCACTCAAATTTTGCTTCTTGGAGACAAAAGCAAAAACATCCCTCTGGCT